CGTAGCGTGAAAATATCTTTTGTGATGTAACTCTTTCAAAAGTATATAAAAATGATTGCCAGCAGGGGTGTACATGTAGATTTATTAAATGCACCTTGTGCGCCACCTAGGAACCGAATCTATAACCCGACACTCGAAATTTTTGCTCTGTTACAATCGTACCCTGTTACAATTGACCCCACTCTCCCCTACTCTTACAATTCAGTATCCATTCATCACTATATATATATTTTTCTTTTTGTTTTATTTTTTACGTCCCTTAAGAAATAGACGAATTGAAGTAAGAAAAAACGCAATATATGTTCCTATTATTATATTTTCAAAACTACATCAGGTAACACACCAACAGAATGCCTTCGACTTAGTCACACGAACTGTTACTTTTCCCACTGCGCATCCTGCACAGCAAACTGGCATTTGACCTATTTTGGATTCTGCAAAATAAATAATATAACCAAGATAATAGTATAAAAGAAATTTACATATAACTGAATTTTTGTATGTTTTTTATATACTAATTCACTATTCTGAACTTATTCACATCAAATTTAGTGTACTCATTTGAAGTAGTGCAAAGTACACTAGCTAGTGCAAGTAGCTGGCCATTAGAATTGCTACTCTAAGTTGGAATATGTATAACAAAATGATATTTTTTGAACTCATACACTACGGGGTAATGAGCTCGTGATTAAATTTACAGTAAATTAAGCCCTCTAGATTCTTAAAAGTTGGTACAAAAAGCTGCCACTTCTGACAGTAAAAAAGAGCATTTATCTGACTGGATGAAGTTGTTGTTACTTTACGTCGCACTAGATCTGCACAATGGGCTATTGGCGACGGTCTGGGAAACATCCCGGAGGATGATCCGAAGACATGCCATCACAATTTTGATCCTCTGCGGAAGGGATGGCACCCCCGCTTCGTTAGCCCGACGACCTGCGCGCGTAGTCGAGCACTTTACGGTAGCACAGTTTAACGAGGACCAATACCGCACACCCTCGGTCCCTACGCAGACTGATCCAAGTGGTCACCCACCCGCACACTGACCGTAGCCAGTGATGCTTGACTTCGGTGATCTGCTGGAAACCGTGTCTTAACGATCAGTCCACTGCGGGACGACTGGATGAAGAGATTGCCATTTTCAGAGACCTGGATCAAAACAGCTTCAATTCATTGACAGTAGTAATTGGTGAGTCCATCTCT